CCGGTAGAGAAAACGTGGTTGCGGACGCGCTATCAAGAGCTCCTATAAACTCTAACTTGGAATTAAATGAAATAACTTCATCTACAGTATACCAAACGTCAGAAATTTTGCAAATATTTGAAATCAGTGGATATTTCAAGTCAGGTAAACGTTTCTAAAGAGAGGATGGAGGATATAAAGAAAGAAACAAAACGGGACTATTGTTTACAGGCCATAAAAAATTATATATCCTGATACGATTCATCAACTGCCAGATGAAGTGAAACCTTACAACCCTTACAAGTGCGAATTAACATATCAGAATGGAATCATTTATAGGAATGACCGAATATATATATATATATATTTACGTAACGAAAGTTACGTAAATAGTTACGTTTTACGTTTTATGTTAGAAAAACGTCACAGCTAAAAGGAACATCTTTTGGCCAGGAATGACCTACGAAATAAAAATAAAATTAAAGAATACACAACCTGCATTAATGTGTTTGCACAACCCACGCAACCTCATGTTATTCCTGAATTCCCATTTCAGTACGTTTCGATGGACATTTTAACAACATAGCATAAAAAAGAAAAAAATTTCTTGTAACTGTTGACCACTATTCAGACTATTTCTAACTTAATATTTTAAAAGACTTATCGTCTAGTAAGCAAAATTTTAGTAGACCCGGAATTCCTCAAAGAATTTGTACGGATAATGGCACTAATTTTGTCAGTGCAGATTTTCAACAATTTATTAAACAATGAGATATATTATGTCGTGTAAGTTCATAGCCACACTATCCACAATTCAACGGTAAGGCAGAGTTAGCTGTTAAAATCGCTATAAAGTTGATAAAGAAGACTGAAAACAATAAAGAAGATTATTCTTATATATTAGTTCAACTATTTGCGAACTAGTAAAAAATGTACCTAAAAAGATAGAAACAATAGACAAAAATCGAAACAATACTATAATATGAACAGTAAACACTTGCCGTAACTGGAAATAGGTCAGCCAGTAGCTGCTCAATTACATCCTGAAAAATCTAAACTATGGACATCAGGAAAGATAAAGGACCACATCGTCCACATCGAAACTTGGCCTCACTTCGAACTTGTTTCTGAAGAATATTGCAATATGGTATCTGAAACGGCAAACATTTTTTCAAAAGACGAAGCTGTTAACCCGAATGTTTCGATATCCATGCGAAAACTGAATGCTGTGAGAGAAAATAAATCACGCACTGTAGATAAATACTAGTGTTTAATAACTCAAAATCGAAATACACCACTTTGCTAAAAGCACATCGCCTGTCCCTCATCGCTAATCTATCATTGCTTGTACTTCGGCTCCATTCTCACATTGCTCTTGGATTTTGAGAAGTATAATTAATAAAGGCTTGAGTCGGTGACCACCTGCTGCATTAGCCCCGAGAAGAAGAGTATTCGGCCTTTATTTGCCTTAAAGCCGGGTGCATGTTTTTCTTGTTGTAAAATGTAAGTTCTCTTTGATAGTATTGTCCAGTAGAGACCAGTTTCGTCTACGTTGAAAACTTGTTTAGTAAAATACCTGCCTTGTGTAATAATGTTCTTGAGAACATTTTTAAAATCTTCGGCCGCTACTGCATCTCCACTGGACGCTTCTCTCTTCAATGCTACATTGTACAGTTTAGCTCTTGATTTAAATTTTGAAACCAACCTCGACTTGCGTGAAAAGTTTCATCTTTATGAACATGTTCGGGTTTTGACTTGAATTCTTCAAATATGGATAAAGCTTTTTCTTGTATGTTGGTCCTACTTTACGTTGATTTTTTTCCTCTATCCACGTAGAGATGAGAGATTCTATTAAGATGATTAAAGAACTTTTGGGGGCGAATGGCCCCGTGGTAAGCTCTCGGGCTACCACGCCGGCGTCCTGGGTTCGATTCCCAGTGAATACACGCCGAGTCGCCTCCCCGTCCTTCGAAGGGGACGTTAAGCCGTCGGTCCCGGCAACCAGTCTAACATCTCTGGTTGTCGTCAGATACATGTGTAATTGGAGGTTGTGAACGTAAAAACGGGTTGAAAGCGCGTCTGCGCTCTTTGAGCGGTACTCAGCCATGCACCCAAGTTTCTGGGCTTTGGAGTACCAGCCCGGCTTGGGGGTCGTCTTCAAATTGCTGGGCGTTGGAGTACCAGCCCGGCTGAAGGCGAGGCGAGAAGCGGTATCAGCCTGATCGGATGCCATCTTCGAACATCTTTCACTCCTCCAAATAGACCTACACATGGCCGAAGTAAATCGTGAGGATGTACAGAGGGACCGTTGGGGCCTAAGTGCTTTGGTTATACCACCTGTGGTTTAACCAACCTCACATGAAACTACATACATACATAAAGAACTTTTGTCTTTTACAATTTGTTGTGCCATAAATGAGTTTGTATTTTTTGAAGCTTCTCTGATTTTTTCTGCGTCATGATTACATATGGATCTAATGCTAGTGACGGGTATATTAAGAATTCTTGCAATATCTACGGCTCTTTCCCCGGCATCAAACCGACGTAATATTTCTAATTTTTTACCTAGAGATATTCTACTCTTAGTTTTTTTTACGATTTTTCCACTCATTTTGATCTATAAATAAGAAATACGTACACAGGAAACATAATCTTTTTGAACGCAAGATTAGATAGTTGTTCAATGTAATTCTGACTTCAATAATCAATTAATCATCAACAATATATTAACTTTCCTCAATGTGGCTTGGCAATTTGACAGTTTCTGCCCAGTCCTATAGATTTCAGTTTCAGTTCTATATTTATAATGCAACGCAAATCGAAACAACTCAAATTGAGTCGGCGCAAATCGAGATCCTAGTATATCCTGAAATCTATAGGCATTGAAGTATTCCTAGGTTTTTCTGTCATACCAACTCTCTCAATGTCATAGTTCTTGACAGTTACAATCTTGTAATTGGGTTCCTATGAGTAACAAAATCACCACAGTTGTATTGTTTTGAAGGCTTTCTTTTTATAGAATTGTCCCCTATTTTTGTTATGGGTTTTCAAGTTGAAGATTTGTTGTTTCTTTTTGAGCAAGTTGTTTCCATAGACCAACTTGCCGTTGTTTCCCAACCTGTTAAATTTTTATTCTAATTGCTTTTTCAACCCAACTAATTGATCCAAATAGTACTCAGGCTATTGCCGTAGTCGCCTCTTCGTAAATTCTATCTTCCGCACCATCCTTTCATAATCTTGCTTATTAACGGGTGTGTTTTCAGCGTCTTCTTCGATATCTTCCATTGGGTCTCCTAATCTTTCATCTTCAATACCTGCTTTCTTTACGTTTTCATAGTTTTTTTTATTTTAACTCCGGATGAATCTACAATTACTCGGGCTTTCCTCAATACTAAAGACTGCAATATTGTTTTGTGTGGAATCTCTGATGCAGATTATTGCGTCCTTCATGATGCAGATTCACGGATGTTGGTTGTCAAGGTAAAATTTCAGATGGAAAACCATTAAAGCAAACTATGTTTTGGAAGAATCTGCGAAACAATGAACTTAATTTACCCTCTGAAGAATGAATAGCTGGCAGATCTATGAATGTTTTCATGAATATTTAATAGTACGGAACAAAAAACAAATCTTTAATTACCGATTATGTACACGTCGTGTCATAGAAAATGCTTTTATTGTAATATCCGCCGTTTTTAGAGTTCTGTGAAAGCCAATATTTTTGGTACCAGAAAAAATTACAAAATAAGTTTTAATTTGTATTTGTTTTCATAATTTCTTGAGGAAAAGTAGAAGTTCGAGCAACATTTATATGCCACATGGAAGATTTGATGGGTATAAATAAGGATATATATACGATACCAGATACACTATACCAAGCGTATGTAGGAATGGTATCCAATCTAATCAATTGCAATCTTTCCTACGATTAAAGAAGATAGGCAGAAAGAGTGCATCATATTATCAGGTTATCAGAAATGAGTTTACCGAAACACTGGTATGAGAGTTGGACATCGTCATCACAAGATGAGGAAGAGAGGAAGTGAATGAATGGAAACAAAATCAAGGCTGGTCCCTAAAGTATGAAGAAAAGTTTGCCAACACCTTTTCAGGCGAGGACAAGGTGGTATTAATTTTTTTTTTACTAATTATTTGTAGGGTTGACCAGGATAAGTACGAATCTCGTGTTTGCATTCCATTTGTAGTTTGTAAATTAAATAAATACTTAATCCAATAATGTATTTGATAGACAATAAGATTATATCTACGTAATGTATGAATGAAATAATATACTTGTGGGTATACTTTGTCTAAGGTTATATTTCGTATCTAAGATAAAATGAACCATTTTTCATATATAGTTTCTCTTAGCCTTATCCATCATTGAGTAAATGTTATCCATTTTTATCACTTATTAATAATTTAAATAAATAGAAACAATTGTACTTAGTGATAATATTATTTATTCGATCTTTACCGGTTTCGGGTCACATTTAAGAGCCATCCTCAGAAGATATCTCCTTAAAATATTACAATAAAATTAACAATCAGCAGACTGGAGGTTGTGGTTTTACTTACGTCAGTATGGAAAATAATTAAATGGTTATCAATTCAAATTAAGGTTTCCTCAATGTTGTCGTGGTTATGATATGTTATAAGTAGGGTTGGTCACAAGCTACTAGTAATGGTTCTTTCTAAACTTGAATAAGGTATATTTTAGTTTGTTTTGAAAAAAATGCGTAAAGGTTTGCTCCTATTTATATTCCTCCGAAGCAGCCACATTTATATTGGGCTATATGTCACTTTTTGCACAAGACTTCGATCTAGATCACGCAAATCGTAAATTAGTTAAATTCACCTCCTCTTTAGAAAATTTTATGTCATTTTATGGAATTATTTTTATTTTCATTTTATTAACAATTACATTATCGAGGACTTTCTTCAGGTTCAGCATAAGTTCCACACCTTTGCGTTCGCTAACATGAATTAGGTCTACAAGGTAGGGAATTAAATTTTAGTGATTCATTTCAGCCTCTTTTTATTGAATATAATGGTAATACAATAATATTTAAGTTATCTTGAACAATAAATAACATGATTTTTAACTACGAAAAGTTGATATCTTCTACCATCTGCGTTGAACCCCAATACTCCAGTTAGGTTTAGACCTATTGGGTCCTCTAATAACTTTACTCCAAGCTCCAGTTATTTTAGTTTGATCAGTTTTGTGACCAGCATTGATACTGGCAACAGTATCCTTTCCAACTCTATCAACGCCACCTCCTACACTCCACGGATATGGACTTTCTGTACTTCCCCCGATTTGCGTACCACCTGGAGCAAAAGATCTTTTGTTTCTAACGTGGTGATCAACATTTACAAGTTCATATTGTTCAGGTACGTATTGTTCTACAACCAGGTATTGTTGATATTGATCTTCAGGAATAACAAAAGCAGCAGAAAAAGCCACCAACGCAAATAAACCTATGTATTTGATCATCATCTGTAATAAACAAGAAAACAATATCTTTAATCGTCAAGTTCCATTATAACTTATTATTGATATCAATCTGGTGAGGAAGACACTTACTGTGTAAAAGATGTATCGGGCGACTGTATAAAAACAATTATGTTGATCTGTTAACTGAAGAAATTTGACTTTGTTTCCTAACTTGAAGTGGCTTGAGTTTATATACTCTAACGCACAATGTATTGCATATTTGATAAAGGGGAATTACTGAGTCCCGCTGTTTGGCCTTGCCTTTTTTAGGGATTAACGAAGTGGAAACCCGGAGACCCATACAATCTTATCGTCTAATTAGTACATTGTAGGCTTTTACAAAGATAATTCTATTTATATTTATTACTACAAATCGTATTAAAGTTGGAGGAGTTTATTTAACCTTTGCAAGGGGAATTCCATTTCAGCATAATTTCTTTTAATATCAAAAATACTACAAGAAGTTATCTCAACTCATTCAACTATTAATAAACATTGAACGATAAAAACTTATTTAAACTTATCATAAATACGGAGGTTTTTACGCGGTTGTTATTTAAAAATAATAATTGTAATTGTTTGACCTTCCGTATATAATGTTGTGCGACCTTAAATACATAAAGTCTAATTGTAACAGATTTGTCAAGAAAAGGGTCAATTTAATTTGTATACAGTAACAAAGTAAGCAAAACACCATTTTCAATCGAGAGAATATTAATTAAAATAGTTTTTTAATTTCAAAATATTTAGGCATAAAATTGTTTTGCATATTAGTCTTATGCAAATCAGTTGTGATTTAATATAAAATGTCAAAAATATTGGAATAAAAGGTTTGAGTCAAAACGCCCATATTTGTATGATCTCATCTATTCCTCCGAAGAGTAGCGTTTCTGTAATATAAGCAAAAGTTAGACTTACAACTGAGTAAGGTACCAGAATCTGCTGAATACAGACTGCTGACACCTTGCTAGGTGACTGAAATCTTAATATTGTAAACTCATTGAAATTGAAATTACGATAACTTTTATACATATGGGAACGCATATACATAATATGGTTCTATTCAATAGTTCTATAGTTATGTGGGACAAGAAACACAGAAATCAAGTATCTAGCAGTCAATCAGCAGCTAGCATTTGGCAGAGAAGTATCTTTAAATCCTCAAATCAAAGGTTAAACAAACAATCCAGTGTTCAAAAAGAATAACGTCGGCAAACATATAAGTTTAAAGCTACCGAAAAAAAGGCTACAATAGCAATCCAACCAAGCATATAATAAAACCTCACTCTTCGAATACGCAGCATGGATGCCCTGTTGCCAAAAGTAAGTTAAAAGAAGTTCATGTAGAAAGCCATATAAAATAGAGGTAAATCCAAACGAAGAATGGTTTGATGATCTGAAACACGATGATGCAGTAATATTTCAAACTATGTGTCACGTGTATTTCTTGTATCCGTTAAAAAATTGCACCAGGGGCAAGGCATTATCAACTTTAAAAAAAGAGCACCCGTAGTATCTACTGCAGGACCTGATGAAAACATCCATCAAATGATTGCCATACAAACAACGAGAATTATTATTACGGATATTCGTTTTATTTCACTCTCTTGTCATTGTCACTACAACTCCTCATAGCCCATAAATATGCTGCTGGACAACAAATGCAGACAACAATGTCATGAGCAGACAGATGTTCTTAGCCACCTCATTGTGCAGTTGTATCCTTACGGGCCACACCTGAGGGGATGGCATAAGGACTCATTTTTTTTGGCAGACATAGCTCTGGACGATTTGGTTGGATGTTTTTGGATAGTAAATTCCCAAAATGGCTGTATGCCACAACGGTAGTTCCGTTCGGTTTTACTGGACTCTAATGGAGAATGTAACAATTTTTTGTATCGTCAACAGTGTATTTAAGACGCAAGCAACAAGGCAGATCTTTTGGATAGCAGTATTGGTGGCGAGCATTGCCTTATCGACTTCATCGTGGTACGACAAATTTTCCATTCTTCCCTAAAAATAGCTTTTCTCTAGATCTTTGCCACTATTTAGTTATTTGGAAGGTTGTCGCTTCATCTTTTCATAGTTCTTTATCCTTATGGTGGTTTATTCCTAGTTATTCTGACAATTTGTTCCTCTGTTATGCAATCGAAGTATTCATTTCATTTTTCTTAATTTCCAGTCATTGATGTTATCTATTCTGTATCAAAAATGTTAATGATTAGATATTGCAATTCGCAGATGCACGCATGTAGATATTGGTTTTCGACTGCTTAATGTGAGTAAAAGATGTCGTTGGAGATGATATTTTGTTGCGAACCTAGCGGAGCCCATTCTAAGCATACAAACACTGCATAAAACTTACAAATATAACTGCTGGCATGGCTTTGCCGCTTATATGGATGATGAGCTTACTTCCTGTGATAATTTTACCTTAGAGGGACATGATAATAGCGTTGATGGTCATCTAGCGACGTCTAAGCAATCAGTGATTATCGACGAAAGCTATCACAATGATTTTAATGTTGTTAGTTATTATACCTCAGTTTAGTCTGGTATATACGCTGCCAAGGAGAGTTTTACGATGTTAAATAACAATGGGCTCTAAGTAGTTCAGGTAAACTGGTTCGTACCAAATGGGTACGTTGTTGTGGATAGGGTGCTTGTTGTCATCTTGATATCCTTGGACAAAGCTGTTAATGCGCGTTCAACAAATGATCCTCTTATTGTGTAGGATATCACTCCAGTCTATAGACACTCTATACACCACTCTACAGACTCTCTGTATGAAGCTCCATCTATATCTCCAAAATCTGTAATCATGTAACATTCGAGATATTGTTTCCGCCCTGTTAATCTTGTTCAATTAAATTTTGCTTTTCATAGTGCTGATAGGCCATGTGTTAGATTTTATCAGTGTTGATAAACCCTAAACGTTACAACTCCTTTTTGCAAACTATTTATTGCACATTTTACCGCTTTATGCTCATAAATAAGTGGTAGTTATAAGTGAACTATAAAATTCACATACAGCAATACCTTTTGACCTACGTAAATAATCTTGTAAGCAATGTTCAGTCAGACTCAAGAAAGATGATACGCATAGAAACGTTTTTTGTAAATTGCTATTGTGAATTGCTGTACTAATGTACTTGAAATTGTTGATTGTTATTTTGCTAGTGTTTACAGTAACGATGACTTTGCGTTCATTGAACAAAGCTTGATTACATTGAATATGTAACTAGAAAGCAATATCATGGTTGATACAGATCTATGATTTTAATTTAATAACGATATACCTAATTATTTTGCATTTCTAATTTACCTTTTTCCATCAATGATATATCATAATGTGATCAAGTTGAACATTCTAGATTTTTTAAATAAACGTTTAAATAAATTTCATGGATTTCAATGAATTACTCTCAGGTAAACCACAACTGGATGTTAGATTTTAAATTTTAATAAGGTCTAAATTATTTCGCATGTTTTTATTGAATGTTATGGCGATACAATTAAATTAACAAGTTTTGATAAATAAATAAGGTGATATTTAACTATAAAATGTTGATATTTTCTACCATCTGCGTTGAACCCCAATACTCCAATTAGGTTTAGCCCTATTTGGTCCTCTAATAACTTTACTCCACGATCCAGTTATTTGAGTTTGATCAGTTTTGTGACCAGCATTAATACTGGCAACAGTATCCTTTCCAACTCTATCAACGTTACCTCCTACACTCCACGGATAAGGACTTTTAGTGCTGCCGCCTATTTGTGCACCACCTGGCGCAAAAGATCTTTTATTTCTAGTGTGGTGATCAACATTTATCAGTTCATATTCTTCCGGTTCGTAATGTCCTACAAGGAAGTATTGTTGATATTGATCTTCAGGAACAACGAAAGCAGCGGAAAAAGCCACCATGGCAAACAAAGCAATACACTTGATCATCATCTGTAATAAAAAAACAATATTTTTAATCATACAAATTATAACTTATTAACAAAAAAATTTATGGAAAATTTCTGTATTAATTTGATGAAAAATACACTTACTGTTTATAAGATTTACGTGCGGATTAACTGTGTTGAAACCAATTGTGCAGATGAGATATTTGACTTTATGGTTCGTAACGAGAACCGCACCGAATATATATACACCGAACTTGCGCATAAAGTGTTGCATATTGGATTAAGGGGAATCACTACATCCCACTATTTAATTGTCGTTTATTTTTTGGAGATTCATTTACGTGATGGGGTCCCAGAGACCCCTATAATCTAATCTACTGATTAGTACATTATTGTCCTTTTGATTCTTACAATAGGAATTTTATTTAAGCCATTTTTTTGTTGACAAAGAAACAGCAAAAAATAATCTATAAATGTATTAATTGCAAGTACTAAGATGGTGATGACAATTGTTATCTTTAAATCATTTTTAATGTGTTAACATTATGTCAATTATAGAAACAATATTTATTATGTTAACGTGTATTTCGGAGAAAAATCCTTCTTATAGAATGGACATTTGCAGAGAGTTTTGCGCAAAGTTGTCAACGCCCGGACAAAAACATTATGATCGCTAACGAAGAATCGCTAGAAAGTTGAATTTGATTTGCAAGCAGTATAAACGTCAGTTAAGTCAATTTAAACGAAAATTGTTAGAACATCAAAACTCTTCGGAAGGAGAAAGATGCCTAATATGGAAGAAGTTTGAAAAAGAGAAAAATATAACTAATATTGCCCGATCTATTGGGAGTTTGCCTAAAAAAGTTCGAAATGCGCTCAAACATTATCGAAATAATAAAAGTTTTTCAAATCAAAAACGATCAAGACGGAGAAAAACCTCAAAAACAGAAGATTTTCTAATTGTCTGACAGGCGCCCAAAGATCTTTTTGCTACTTCTTTACAGATAAGAGCCACAATGCAGCAGGACTATGGTGTCAACATTGCAAGTAGGACTGTCAAATAACTTCTGGAAACCAATCTCCAGGAATGCCAAAGTTTAAAAAAAACGAAGGTTTCGCTTGGAAACTATAAAAAGCACTTGGAATTCGTAAAAAGCCATATTCAATCTCTTCCCTCTTTCTGAAATTGCGTAATTTAGCGAATCTAAATTCAATCTATGCGGACCTGATGGTACATGTTATATGCGACGTACTCCAAATAAAGAATTAGATCCAAAGTACACGAGAAAGACAGTGAAATTCGCCGAAGGAAGTGTGTTTGTTGGACCTATTGTTCAAATAAATGGAAAGCTGAATGCAATGGCATATCAAAATTTATTGTTAAAACACCTTATCCCATATTTGGAAAATTTGCCGTTATCAATTTATTCGAAAATGGTTTTCCAGCAAGACAATACGCTCTGCCATAGGTCAGTATTGGTGAAACAATGATTTCACAGTCAAGCAATACCACTGCCGGTTTGGCCTGCACAGAGCCCAGATTTAATCCAATTGAGAACTTATGGGCAATTATTCCAAGAAGAGTTATGACGCTAAAACCAAAGACGTTACAAGACTTATGGGACGTTATCCAGCAAGATGGCAGAAAATGGCAAAAAGGGTACCCAACCAAATAGTAAATAAATATTCAACTTACACTCTATATATATTCTGAATATTTTCAACCTTATTAAGTGATGTTTAAGTTTTATTTACAAATAAAACATTTGTGTAAAAAAAATTGTATATTTCTTTGTTTTTTAACAAATAAATTTATTTGTTAAAAAAACAAAGAAATACTCTTAAGTTCCTTATAGAAAACTTTCATTTTGCTTCGATTTTATACGCCTTTAACTAGATTCAGTACGGTGTGCTAATTAGCGTACCACCCTTGTATATTTGAGTAGTTCTATACATGAGATGCACGTGAATCTTCAGTAAAGATCTGCATTGTGTTTAAAGTTGCAATAATCGCTTGGTAGTCCATCTTTTACACTACCAGTTTTCTACCTTATGGATAGTAGAAAGATTTGGATATGTATCATTGAACAAGTTAGCCACTTTACTATAAAATCGTATTCTATCGCCTACTTAGCAGATTAGCAGAGTAATAATTGTATTAATCTTAAAATAACTTCATATCTAGTTTGTACTGAGAATTTTATTTATTTAAGACGGAATGGAATTCCCCTTGTAAGAATGAAAAGGACAATAAACATTAGATTAGATTGTGCGAGTCTCTGGGACTCCACAACGGAGATAAATCTCCGAAAAAGAAACAACGATTAAACAGTAGGACGTAGTAATTCCCCGTTATCCAATATGCAACACTTTATGCGCTAGTCCGGTGCCTATATATTCGGCGCACTTCTCGTTTCAAACCATAAAGTTAAATCTCTCGTTTGCACAGCTCGGCAATTTGATTTCAACGCATTCATTCGGAACAAAAATCTCTTAAACAGTAAGTATCTTACTCTTGATAATAAGTTATAATGAAAGTGGACGATTAAATATATTCTTTTCGTTTTATTACAGATGATGATCAAGTGCATTGCTTTGTTCGCCTTGGTAGCATTTTCCGCTGCTTTTGTGATTCCTGAAGATCAATATCAACAATACTTCCTTGTAGGACATTACGAACCGGAAGAATATGAACTGATAGATGTTGATCACCATGCTAGAAATAAAAGATCTTTTGCGCCAGGTGGTACACAAATAGGCGGCAGCACTGAAAGTCCTTATCCGTGGAGTGTCGGAGGTAGCGTTGATAAAGTTGGACAGAATACTGTTACCAGTATTAATGCTGGTCACAAAACTGATCAAACTCATGTAACTGGATCATGGAGTAAAGTTGTTAGAGGACCAAATAGGGCTAAACCCAACTGGAGTATTGGGGTTCAACATAGATGGTAGAAAATATCAACATTTCAGAATTAAATATCACTTTATTTATTTTTCAAGAAATTGTAAATTTAATTGTATCACCATTACATTCAATAAAAACATGCTGGATTGATTTAGATTTAATTAAATTCTAAAATTTAATACCCTTAGAATTGTACAAGATTTGGGATACTAAATTCCAGGCGTTCGAAGTGTTACCAGTTTTAGTCACTTAGAATTTTTTAGTACAATACCCTGTATATTATTTAATCATTGGAATATATATCAGTGAGAATATACAGATTGTTGTGCGGCCTTCATAAAAAGTTAACTAATAGATTTGAAAATTAATAAAGAACAATATGGTTGAAAGTTTCAATGAATACTGATTATATCAAGTATTTCAAATGTTAGAGCACCTTGTCTGTAACATCCTTATAGTTTGGACAAATTAAGTAAATAAAAATTAACACATTTTTCACATATTGACGGGCTTAGCAACGCCCGTCAATATGTGAAAAATACATTTACATTAGTTAACAATTAATTTCGGCTCGTTTTAATCCCTTTTTCTGTACACAAAAGGAAATTTCAATCTATACTAAACATCGACAAGTAACTGCTTCAAATTGTTTCACAAAAAGACGTTATTATTCTTACTTCTTTATTAACATTAATAATTACAGGAATACAAAAAGAAAAAATACAAATGTAGTAATATACAAAAAATAATAGGTAGTAATGATAACAATTGTAAGATATATGAATATATCAAAATGGAAAAATAATATTGTACATATTATGAATGGCAATCAAGGCGAAAAGGTATTTTAGCGATTAATAATTATGAATTGATCTATGATTTTATTGTTAATGAATGACCAGGTATCGGTAAAAATGTCGCATTCAGCGGAAATCTGGTTATAATAACTACATATCAACTACACTGGGGAGCGTTGAGACAACACTGTTCTGTTGAAGTTGCAATAGAAAACACGCGTCGATTTAACATTAAGTCTTGGTACGTTAAAATTGATCCTGCGAGATCTGGACCGATGATCTAAGGCAGGATAGCCGCAAACGTCTCATATCAGTCCAAAGAAGAAGTGCCCTGCGGATTACATCTGCGTCTAGAACAGTGTCAGGACCTGCGGTGCTTGTAATCGCTGGCATACCCCCCCTTGACCTACTAGCTGCGGAAAGAAAGGAGGTATATGAAACAAAAGACGCAGTGGAACCGATACAAGCGCGTAAGCAGGCTAGAATGCATACCTGTGATAAATGGCAGAAGCTATGGGACGAGGAAACCCGAGGCAGGTGGACGGCTCGACTGATCCCGCGTATTCAGATTTGGCGTGATCGAAAGCACGGCGAAGTCAATTACTACATTACCCAAATCCTAACGGAGCACGGATATTTTTGTAAATACCTCTGGAACATCGGAAAAGTAAATAGCCCTGCTTGCCCATATGCGGATGGGCTGACAGATGACGCCGAACACACAGTGTTCCACTGCCACAGATGGAAAACCGAAAGGGAAGAGTTGACGGCAAATGTAGGCCCTATAGCACCCGACACGCTGGTCAACAAAATGATTAGTGACGAAGCGACTTGGACAACAATCGTTACCTTTTTGACGAAGGTCCTCACCCAGAAGAAACTTGAAATGGATGTCGCCCTAGTCCATCTACACGAAGCTGAGTACAGAGATGGCTCCCCGATAGGATGAATAGCCTTTTCTGATCCTTTATTCGACGCTACTACAACTACCAGCTGAAGCCGGAGGGGGGAACCCCGATGGGACGAAGAGCCCCCCTCCGATACCTGTAAGTTTACGGTTTTATATGCAAACCTAGAAGTAATCACATATTTTTTAATTTTTTATACGTACCTGGACCCGACGTGAAGTTGATCCAACTGATGAAGACGGAGGGGGGATTCCCGACGGGACGAAGAACCCCCCTCCGATGCCTGTAAGTTAACGGTCTTAAATGCAAACGTAAAAGTAACCATATGTTTTTATTTTGTTATACGTACCTTAACCCGACGTGGAGTCTTCGATGCCTACGTACCTGTATTTGAAGTGCAGTAGATCCACTAAAGTACTGAAGAATCACAGAAGACGGATGGGGGATCCCCAAGCACACGAAATGCTCCGATGAAATACCCAGGAGGGTGGTCCCGGAGCTGGGGAAAAAGGGGGAGTTTTTAGTGGGTAACTTAGGTACTAGAGTCCCACACTTCCGGCCGAAATATTTCCCAACACATCACCATCTACAAGCGCCAACAGTAGGCCGGGGTGCGTAACGCATTTTCTCCCCCTCAGCGCAAAAAAAAAAAAACGTTAAATTGATCATGTATAAAATCTGTGAACAGTCAATCAAGCCGTGAAGTAAACCATACCACCATACAAAAATCTCACAGTGATTGTTATTCTACGTATTGACAGTGACACTACATCAAATCGGTTCAGTAATATACTGTAATCAAAGCTCTAGGGGGTCAATTCGGTAAGACAAAAACTTTAAGAATAATCTTTGAATGTGCTCTAATAAATTAACATGTACAGCATAAAAAGGATGCCAATCAAAGATGCGTATTCAAGGCGCCAACGAATCAGAGCATTAAAAATAGTAAGAAGGCCAACGGTTGAAAATTCTTTACAATTGCGATATATAAAACCATAAGTTCGATAACATTTCACGCACAGATTATTGCATGGTCTATGAATGTTAGTTTTAAATCAAAAGTTACCCCCAAGTCTGTAATATTATTAGTGCACCGCAAGACTTCATTACCAATGCAGTACTCTGTGTGAATCAGCGAACTTCTGGTATAGAAAACAACGCGTACTTCGACACATTTAGAGACAATCGGTTATTCGCACACCACTCGATAACACTATCCAAACCACTCTGAAGAACAACACTATCCGCTGAAGAGCGAACTGAGGTAAAAATTTTTAAGTCATCAGCAAAAAGAAGTTTACCGCAATCAATGGAGTCCGTGATATCATTGATGAAGATGAGAAATAGAAGTGGACCCAGGTTTAAACCTTGAGGCACTCCCGATGTTGGCCGAATAGGATACGAACTGCAGTTGAAGTATCTGACGCACTCTATCTCGAAGGTAAGACTCCATAAGGGAGATCAAAGGTTTCCTAAATCCAACGGAACTCAACTTGCGCAACAACGCATATAGACCCAACTGATCAAAGGTCTTCTGAAAATCTAGGTAGCAATATCTACTTGGCCTCTATCATCTAGCACATCGGACACAAATTGTGTAAAACAAACTAGGTTTGATACAGTTGATCAATTCTTTACAAAATCATGCTGGAAAGGTGTTAATATGTGCGTAGATATATTTGTATAAAATTAAGTTGAAAAGATACAGTAGGGGAGTATCAAAAATAGCGGCGCAATCTCTTAGCAAGAAGCTGGGAATACCATCAACACCCGCGGAAGGTTTATTTTTGGCATGTCTCGCCGAATTTACATCCTCGAGAAGGAAACCACTGATTTGAATTGTTTAGTCCAATGTCAACCCAGAACCGGACAAATTGTGAGGATCCGAATCAATGTAGACCTCACCAAAATATTCAGCGAACCCGTCAACAATCGAGGAACTCGTAGTTATTCATTTTGCCTGTAGTTCATAATACCAGGTATCCGAGAAGAGCCCTTTCTGGATTGTACATAGCCCCAAAAGCCCCTCGGGTCACTACAAATTGCATTCTCAGTATCAGTTATATATTGTTTGTAAGCAGCGTTTATCATAGTCTTGGTGAGCATTCGTTGATGCTTGAATAATTCCAAATAATAAGCGGCTCGATGCTTTTTATATTTATTATGTATGCTTCCTTTAACCAGAAGAGCCTCTCTAATGTCTTTTGTGAACCAGAGCGGGTATTCCTTTTTTCCAGGCTGCAAAAATCCAAATTTTGGCACAGCGATATCACATGCTTTATAAATGAGCTCGTAAAATGTTGCGCAAACAACCTCCGTTTCATTATAAATTATTGACCAATCTGTAGAGCTTAACAAATTGTAGAGCAACGGAATATTCGCTCGTAAAGTTATAAGTAGGCACACTAGATGTAGCTTGGAATTCAGGCGAAGTAGATTCTAAACAAGAAAATATCATTTGAAGTGCGGGATGTTGGCGATTTTCGACCACAATAGGGTCTAAATCTTCGGAGACCACACAAGGGAAGTTACAAAATACCAGGTTCAACAAGCGGCTATTGGTGTTAAGGACATTGTTTGCCTGAGTGAAGTTGTTAAATGATTCATAGTTACAGAGAGCTGTACCAAGGCGATCTTTTCCGTTAGGTTCGCATATGATGGAACATTAAAGTCACCCAAAACCAGAATAGGGTCATTGGTAAGATAGTTCAATGTTTGGAGCCGCTCTAAAAATGTCTCAAAGACTTCAACAGAAGTGGATGAAGGTATATAAGCAACGAAGACAAAACACCAACGGCCATTCAAGCCAAAAATCTTTACACCAACAACATCTATTGAAGGTGTGACATCGGTTATGCTAATCAAGTCTAGTTGAACAGCTCGCGAAACATTTAATAAATCCAAACGTCGATTACAACGATATTCTTCAGAAGATGTTATTGTATTATTCCTTTTGAAGCATTTTCTTACCGCCAAGGATCCATAACTATGAAGTATTCAACAAAGTTCTGTCTAATTATAAAGCTTTTATTTCAGCTGAATTCTCTCTCTGTACTTTGTTTCATCAGAGCAATGTTACAATGTATCGAACATGTTGAACTCATCATAGGAATTTAATTCTGAACTCAATTCTAATAATATACCAGAAGAAATTCGCCATCTTTTGATAGCTAAAATTGTTACTATCAACTTTACTAAATAGACTGCTCCTAGACTTGATATTATTTTTAGATCTATTATAACTTAAACCCTCCAACAGTTTAGGACAAATGTAGGTCCTTGATGAACCTTAATATTGCTAGAAGGTCTTGCTCCTTTATGTCGATAGATGTCAGGCGTACTTTACCGAAAATTTTGTGTCTTAGACGGCCTCTGTTGACGCATTCACACAATATATGTTCAGCAATCTCTAACTCGTCGTTACCAAGTCGACAAGTTTGATCCACAGCGTGTCCAAGGAAGAGGTATTATTTTAGGGGCGCATGGTCGGTAAGGAAGCCTGACAGCGACCTTAGATCACCTTTGCTGCGGAATAAAACCTCTTTAGTTTTGTGCAGAGTCATCAGTGCAGTCACACGTGTAGCCCTGAATTGCCTTTAGGGCGGCCCGACTCTGCTATTCCGGATCCAACTATTATTGCCTTTATATTATAGATACAAGATGTTTATGGTCTTCATTTTATTAAAACAGCACAACATACAACGTTTTTCGCGATGAAAAATATCAGTAAACATTACTCTAAAATAAAAATAGAATTCATCATCTGCATAATAATTTTTATTTACAACAATATTAAGTGTACAAGAGAGTACTCTACAACTCAAATATTTTTTGTATATTTTCTTTTTATAATCTAATAACATTTAATAAAGACATATAGATAATAACGTCTATAGTTTTCTTCACTCTAATAACAAGCGTATTTTTTTAAAAACCTACAATAAAAATGGTTCTCTTCAAATGAGCAAGTAAATAATACTGATCAAATCACAATATATTTGAACGTTTTGGCACAAAAAATGTAACTTATATTATTCATTTTTTATCACAGGAAATAACACATGTTAAGATCGTTATTTTCGAAAGATCGATCTAAAAATCTAAGAGCAAACTATTCTTTATGTAATTTTTTTTTTACGGAAAATGCATAACATTTAAATCAGGATATTGGGCATTTTCAATTGACCCTCTACCAAACTTTAACTCTAAAAAATCTCTTATATTATTAGGACTCGGTACGTTTCGGCCACAAAAACTAATACTCGACATGGGATGCAAAAAATGATCGGGAAATTCCATTCGTTTACGATTCAAGTTCCAACCGTCTAAAGACATTGTTCCATTTTTAGCATAAAACGGAAATATGTTCACAAAAATTCGATTCTTTTTACTATAATGAACGCGAAAATAGTTCCCCTCCCCAGCTTTTTCCCAATAAAAACCTTTCAAATCAACCACAGGTTTAAATTTCGCTCTTTCCAACCAAACACATCTAGATAGATCATCCCTATTGACCCCTACATCAACGTCGTAATCCCATGGAAGAATATCACCATGTTTCATAGCCCCCAATAAACTACCGCCTTCCAACCAATATCTTATACCACAATCTTCAAGATTCTTAAAAACATGTAAAGCGGTTTTACGTAAATTTGACATACAACATGGAGGAGTTAATTTTTTTTCAATTAAATATGATGGTAATGAAGAAACAACTGGAGGAAAGCAACGGGATGTATTTTTAGTACACCCATACCATTGTTCTGTTTCGTCTTCTTTAACTAATTTTATTTTAAAGGAACGATATAAATTTTTTAATGCTTCTTCTTCAAGTCTTCTCATCCATTGAACATGACGATTCTCTAACGGAGGTTTACCATCTTGAAAAATGACACCTTGTAAAATTTTAACCTATAAAATATTAGATCTTAATGCAAGATTTTTTATATTAGACGAACCGGAAAGTAATGTTTTTCTGCGCATGTCAATATTCGATTGCCATCTATCAGATCATTGTATACAACAAAGTCATGTTAGGCTAGGACACGATCGATTTTCAGTCAGCCGATAATTTAGTCGATGGACATAAATATACTAAGCTTATGGCTAGGCACACCCATTCGATTTTCAGTCGGCCGATAGATTAGTTTATGGACAGAAATATATTAAGATTAAATGTAAAAATCGAGTTGATATGCAGTTGTGTTTTGTGTGCAGCTACATTAAACTTAATACATTTATGACCATGGACTAAACTATCGGCCGACTAAAAATCGATTGTGTGTGTCTAGCCTAAATATAAAAGTTGAGTTGATATGCAGTTATGTTGTATATGCACCTACACTATAACTGCAGATTTACTGAGTCGGTTTTAAATTGATAATGCATTGCGATTTCACACCAATCCGACTAAGTTGTTTCGTTGACGAACAATCGACTATGTAGCCTTAGACATCTTAGGCCCTTCGCACACCAACGCTACATAACTACAACAATACTGTAATAAAATGGTTCTACGGTCATTAGTGGAAAGTCATACCACGTGTAGCGTTGAGTGCAAAGCCTTCAATCAAGTGATGACGATATTATTGCAGCATATAACTACTATAGAAAAAAGAAGCAGCGTGCAAGCCTTTTCTGCACCCTTTCGAAAATAAATTAAAACATTGTAATTATATAAGCAGAGATATTTATCGATGTGGTCGGCAACCGGTCGCCTGGAGATTCAATATGCTGAGTTATTCATAGGTTGAGTAGCGTTGGTGTGCGAGGGGCCTTAAGGCACAAAATAACCAGAAAGGACACTGATGTCGTTTCCATTGATGTTGGAGGTACCTACTGTATTTTTTGACCTCGATTTAAATTCCGCTATCTTGAAAAGCACACCCAAAGACACAGAATAACCAGAAAGATCACTAGGGGTATGTTATTGGTGGTTAAACTACTCGTCTGATTTAAAGTGATTTAACCACCAATAACAGCAAGGTGTTTCCTAAATCATGACGAAACCTAATAAAATGGTCGTAGTCATTAACGTATAAGAATTTATCACATAAATAACATCCACATTCGCTACATATTTTCTGTAAAGTGGGTGGCACACATGGCAAGAATTCGGTCTAATCTAGGCTCTTCTAGTTCAGTGGACTCTCGAAGTTTAATTCTCTGGTTTACTTTTAAGTATAATGAGTAACTTAGAGGAAATAAAGGAACGATTTAATGAACAGATTATTTACAAGAGAAGAATATTATTTCTTTTTATTAAAAGTTAAAAAAAAAATAAGGAAGAGTTTTGGTAAATCCCTTGAAGAATATCAGCGGTTATGGAGATATGACATCTTAAAAATTGGAACTGAAGAAATATATATATATATATTACACATTNGATTTAATGAACAGATTATTTACAAGAGAAGAATATTATTTCTTTTTATTAAAAGTTAAAAAAAAAATAAGGAAGAGTTTTGGTAAATCCCTTGAAGAATATCAGCGGTTATGGAGATATGACATCTTAAAAATTGGAACTGAAGAAATATATATATATATATTACACATTTTTGGAAGAAAATTTTACGAAATCCATATTGGAATTGGCTATAGAGGACGAAATAGAATGATTAAAGAAGTTAAATCAAAATATAAGAACAGATTACAGTAGAAATTGTTATGATATATTTAAATCTTTGTGAACCCTGTCAAAAAAAGTTGATCATCTAATTGATATGCAGTCACAAGCAGACGACGACTATAAGTTTATAATGGTTTATCAAGCCCATCTGACGAAGTTTATTCAACTCAGAGCTGTTAAAACAAAACAAGCCGAAGAAGTTGCTTATCATCTTCTGAACATATTTACAATTTTCTCAGCTCCTGGCATTTTACAACGCGACGATGGCAGGGAATTTGCAAATAAAGTTATTGAAGAAATGTGTAAAATGTGGGGTGAACTCAAACTCGTTCATGGCAAATCGATACTTAGCCAAACAGAAGGTTCGGTTGAGGGAGCCAACCAGGACATAGAAAATATGTTGTCTACTTGGCTTGAAACTAATAATACCATAAAATGGTCTAAAGAAATGAAATGTATCCAATTTATGAAAAAACGGGTTCATCTTTTAGAAGCAAAGTTTGCTTGAAAACACATTTGTCAACAAACACTATTTTCGATATCGTTATAGTGGAAGAACTTGAAGAGGTGTCAAAAGAGCACTGTAATACAGTTATCGTACTTGAAAGAATAACTCCAAATGTAGACAAAGACAATGAAGCAGAGAATGAAGGCAATGTGGAAATAGAAATACACAACCCTACTGAAAATGTGCAATTAACAACTGTTGGAACTTCGGCTACAAATTCGGCGGAAATCTGCAAAGTACGCACTAGAAAAGCAAGCTAGCAAAATGTTATACTTTTCAAAAGTAAACTATCCAGTAGCTACTGTAGAAGAAAACGTACTTATAAGAATTCCATATGTAAGAGGTAAAGCAGACAGCCGCAATGTTATAACAGTTATGTCTACTCAAAATGAAAAACTGTACAATTACTAGTTCTAGTGATAATGTTAGTTCTAGTTTTAGTAGTTATTTGGCGCTAGGTTGTTGTATACTTTTATTGAACTAATACTAGACCTAGAACTAAAAACATTCTGGTTTAACCGTTTTGAGAGACGCACCGCTAAACTCGAAACTTTCTAGTTCTAGGTAAAATGTTAGTTCTTATTCAGCATCAGGTTGTTGTAGACTTTCGGGTTTAGTCTAGTTTTAGTTTTATTCCAATAAAAATACACAATAACATGCTGCTGAATAACAACTAAAACTAGAATTAATATTATCACAGGAACTAACACCAGACCTAGAAGTAGAAAGTTTCAGGTTTAGCCATGCTGTGTATCTCCCAAGACAGCTAAACCCAAATGATTCTAGTTCTAAATCTAGTTTTCGTTGTAATGATAGTGTTAGTGTTGATTTTAGTTGTTATTCAGCGCCAGGTTGTTGTTTGTTTTTGTTGTGCTAAAGCTAGAACTAATACTAGACCTAGAAACATTCGGGTTTAGCTGTGCGTCGCTCAAGATGGGTAAACTCGAATGTTTCTAGTTCTAGTGTTAGTTCTGGTGATAGTATTAGCATTGTGCGTCTCTCAAGACGGCTAAACCCCGCTTCTAGTTCTACAGTGGGTACGATATTTGTTGAGCCAAAATTCCCAAAAAGGAAATAATCAATAACGTTCTATTCTCCGAAAGCATCAGTTATTCACGGCTTCTACGTTATTTCTCAAATATTTTTTGCACTTTTGGTGAATATCTCAGAAACTAATTAACGGATTTGCAGCAAGCTTTTGTTGTGAAAAATTAAGTTATAAAAAATATAAAGTCAATTTTTTTGAAAAAATAAACCAGATGATAAAAAACGGAACAAACAAACAAACTTTTATTGGATTAATCGAGCCACAGCTGCTAATTTGATAAATTTTAAAAGTCGTCCTCAGTAGATATTTCACTATCAGAAATTGCAACAATTAAGCTTTCTGTTGCCTCATCAATTCGAACCTCGTTTTTTAAATAATTATTTTCAACTTTAACAACATTTTGACAACACTTCAACCAGTTTGCAACAGTAACCGACGAAAATTCTTCTTCTGTCACAGTTTTCACAACCATTAATTTAAATAATACATTTCTCTTCGCTACTTTGTTTTTAACTTGAGTCCATATCATTTCAATCGGATTTAAATCGGGGTGGTAGGATGGGAGCCTTAAATCCACATGTCGGTTTTTTTCTAGCAGACGATCGAATTTGTAAACAATGTGTTTTTTTTTATGATATTTAATAATATCATACAGCTATGGCTTACGCAAATTCGGCGAAAAAGGTATAGTTTTACTTAGCAACCAGTCCATCATATCTGCTTTTTTTGATTTGCAAGTAGGCGCTTTATATAGTACTTGTACATTATGATATAAGATTTAGAATTAGCTTCTCTGCAAGCCACTTCTCATAATTTTGCGAGTTCATGTCGCTATGGTAGTCTCCACCTTTGGTTTACTCCAGATTTAAAAATCAAGAGACAGTTAGGTATGAAACCCGTTTCACTACCAGCGTGAACAATAACTAATCGATTGCCGATATAGGTGATAGTAAACCATTAGTGGTATTGTCTGTCCAACTATTCGGACTAGTATGACCTGCGTGAATGTAAGTTTCATCTAAACAGATGATAGGTCTACCTTGGCTCTAATTTTATCCAAATAATTCAACCTTAAAGCGCGAATAGCAACCGCCGATTGTCCTTAGTTTTCCTCCACTTAAATCCAAGGTTTTTAATAATTGTCAGCAGGGAGGTATGTTTTCCCGAAAAGTTATATTCCGTATTTAATTTTTAAAAATCATGAAATTATAAATCATATTTCTAATATCCATTTGTTGCCATTCCGATATGTTGGTTTTCGTGCACATTCTCTTACGTTTTTTAGAAGAACTGAATGTTATATTATCATCACCATTGTTTGAAGCTTGTAAATCGCAACCTTCATGTAAGATTCTCTTTATAGTTGTCAGAAACACTCCTGTAGCACTCCTGACACTTGATGGTAACATTATACAATTCTTTCAAACAGTTAAAAACTTGGGGGTGATGATGGATTCTGCATTGTCCTGGCAGTCCCAGATTCAGTCTGCCTGCAGGAAGGTTTATTTCTATTTCTACTCCCTAAGCAAACTTGGTTGTTTCCTTCCCTCTATTGTTCGTCGCAACCTCTATTACTCTTTAATTCTCCCTCATTTGGACTATGCTGATGCCGTGTACCCAGACCTCTCAATTAATCTCCGTAACAAATTAGAGAGATTACAAAATAATTGTCTGCGCTTTATTTTCGACCTGAGAAAATATGACCATGTTACACCATATCGTAATCACCTCGAGATGCTCACCGTTGATAACTACCTTATACAAGATACTTTCCTCTCAATCTCCAATTTACCTGTTCACTGCATTTCAGTTCCTGGCATCTCGAGGTCTTCCTAGTAGAGCATAGTCTGATGTCTCACTCATGTTTCCCGTTCATCGTACTAAAATATATCACAGATCATTCACTGTACAAGCTATAACTCTGTGGAATAATTTATCCACAGAGTTGCGTAATGCCAGTGAATACGGAAAAGCTGTATTCAAGGTTTCGCTAAATTATCTGTTTTGATTTTTGATGTCGTCTGCTTCTTCTTATTTGCTCTTTTCCAATCACCTTTCGCTTGATCTGATTTTCTTTCTTTTTTGTTCTCTCTTATTCATTTTCTGTTATTTAATATTTAGTTTCTTTTTCTTTTCTCATAATTGCCATATCAATTATTTATCTTAATATGATACATACATTGCCTTAATACATAACCTTATGTTAATTTTACAGAATAAAGTATATTTCTCTGTTATTATTTTAATTCTGGCTGGCAAAAAACTTATTATTATTAGCACTTACAACACGGTTTTATTTTCATTTGGAAAAATTGTCTTAAAATAATGATACACCTTAAATATAACACCCTTCATCTGAGAATTAACTTCCTATCTTTTATTTCTCACTTCTATTGATTTCTTTTCATAAGAACTTACACTGCAAATGGATAAAAGAACTTATGTTACGTAAATCGATTGCAATTCACGATAAACAAACGCCCATTGCAAGTATGAGCAAGTAAAAACACACTTGTTATGCCGCCGCCAATGACTTTCGGGGTATCGCATCTTATAGATTCCAAGAATCTGACGTAGTGGTTTTCTGAGTAATTTGGCTCAACAAATATCGTACCGGCTCGGCTGTAGGTCTAGTGTTAGTTCTGGTGATAGTATTAGTATTAATTCTGCCAGGTTGTATATTTTTATTCAACTAAAACTAGATCGATTTCGTCACTCGAACTTGTTTATGAAGAAGGTTGCAACATGGCAACCGTAAAGTTTTTCAAAAAACGCATGGCTTAACCCGAAAGTTTCTAGTTCTATGTTTACTGTTGGTTCTAGCAAATGATCTGGCAATGTCATTCGCCTCGCTTCTCTCTGGATAGGCCATAACGTGTTAAAAACTGCCCTATTGATATACAGGGAATGTTTGTAAACAATTTCAGCGTTTTGATTTACTTCTGTTTATAATATTTTTAATTAAAAATGGATTAGAAAGGGTTTGGGCTAAAACTAATTGATAAATATATTTACTGAACATAAAGTTAACATAAACATGCCAGTTTATAAACATTGGATGATCAAGGATGGAGGGGATCAGGGATTACTGTATATGTCTGAGACAAACAAATGTTTATAAAAGCAAGTGGCTGTGCTAGATTGGTGGTTCTAGCTTTAAAACAACATTACTTTCCGGTTACCATAATCTATCTAATTCAAACTAAACGCCATCAAAAAATTTAAAAGAAACCATCAAAAAATAAACCAGTACATTAAATATTAAATTATTCATGCAAAAACTTACACTATAATTTAAATATGATGTTTGTAGATATAAAGATAATGGAAATGGTGCCAAAAGAGCATTTGGCAA